TCTTACAGAAGCTTAGGTACATGTATATGGACTAGTGCTCATAATCAACAATGGTGCCCAGGCTTTCCAGAATTAAAAAAAAGTCAGATTTTTGCCGTAAAGGCGAAGCAATGAACGCGATAGCAACAAATTGCAACGTGATGGAAACATGCCCCGTTGTTTCTGGCAAGCTGATAGAAACTTGCCCCGCGTTTCTCACGCACAAATGACGCACAAAACTTACTCTCAGATACCGAAAAACGCGAATAAGCGTCTCACTTGTCAGTTCGCTGTGTCTGAAAAGCCCGCCCTTTTCGCAGACAGAGGCTGTGCAACGATTGCAGTGACCTTTGTGCGCCCGGTAACTACAACAGAATCGTTCTAGTGAAAGCCCAACGCCAACCAATATGTATGAACCTCCCCATCATGAGACAAGGGTGCGCGAGTGAGCGTCCACCCTCCTTTTCTCCGCCGGGCAAAGTACGTGCGGGAGATGATAGAGCGCGCCGCCGCGTCGTGACGATGTGGCGAGGCGCGTTCATTGCGTCATGTTTCTGGTAATGCTGCAAACCCGATAGTTACCGAGATGCCTGCACACCGCAATAAGTGGTAGATATAAATAGCTTGCTGCTTAAACATGGGAAGGATGTGCTCTATGTAGTTCTGTGGCTAAGCCTCTCGCAAACACGATTCGTAGGTCCCACGTTCGATTCTGCGTGCCGGAGTGTTTTTTTTTCTCGAATATTTTTCTTTCTGGCGTTTAAATATATATATAGGTACATATACATATACGGTGAGTGACGTCGACGCCGGCGGCAAAAACAACTGAGAGAGTCCATATAATTTATATCGCAATAAAAAAATGAAATCGAATGTTCTCTTGCGGATGCGTGGTGAAGAAAAGTCCTGTGATATCGATTGCAGAGTCGGAATAATTTCATCAATGTATACGCTCATGGAGAGGAAGGTAAGGAGGGGCTAACTCATCCGATTTGGAAGAAAAAGCTCCTAACCCGTAGTAAAACACATTGCACGGTCCTCATTCAGACAGGATACCCGTGTGGATGATATTGTGGACATCTGAGCCATTTGTCGAGGTATTCATAAAAAGTGGCATGCAAATAGAAGAGACTGCAAACTGTGCAGTGCTGCATATATATTACCCACTTTTCGAGCAATGCGGTACACTTTCTGTTTTGTGTATATTTCGCTTGACGCTTCGCTGCGAAATTGCTCTAGGGCTTCTATGGGAAAAAATAAAAGGTAAGCGAACAGTGACAGCTGTGTCGCGCAGCGCGAATGTTGAGGGAAATCCGCTGAGGATATTTCACGCCGTGCTCGAGGGCTTGGCGCGACGATATCGTTTGCGGAGTCACCAACTTCCGACAGATTCATTTTCTGCCGACAACGAAGAGACGACGTCGCCTCCCTCCGCGACATCGCGCACCGTGATCTGCGCTTCGTATGCGAGCGTCTTTTCCGCTGGCTCTTCAATGAGGCGTTCTCGGAACGCTCTTACACCGGGAGCCACCGCCCCGCGCGTCTAGAGCCAAGGCTGCTGCGCCGAAAGCGAATCGCCGCGATGGCCGCCGATAAAAACGGGAGCGCGTGGCTGTTGGTGGTGCCTTATCGGCGGCCGCAAACCGCGGCGCCAACTCCCCGGCCGTTGATGCTGCGCTGACACCCTCGTAAAGAACTGAGGAAAAAGTACCCGGATTTTGGACTCCGCCATAGGGCCCACGCGGCTTCTCCGAGCATGCCTCATGTGGAACGAGTGGCCGAGTTGATGGAATCTCGCGATTTAAGAGTCGACCGCTTGACTCGACGCTGCCGCTCCGTCGGCTCATTTCTATACGTGAATGCTCTCCGGCCGCCACCATCGCGCCGGGGTCTCTTTTGTGCAGTCTGCGCGTTTCGTCTTTGCTGCTTTTCATCGAGCCTCAACAGCATTGCGTTTGCGCGCCCGTTTCCTAGGTGTGGGCGTTATCGTTGTCTACGCGAGCGTATGCGCGTGGTGTGTATAGTGTGTGCGCTACGCGCGCGCTGGTGAGCTTCCTGGCGAGGGAATGAGTACTTTATGTGGGCGACACCACGGGTCTTACGTTGTTCTTTTTTTTTTCGCCTCTTATTTCATACCCTCCCCTCTTCTTCTCCGTGGCGTTGTTTAGTACACACCGTTGTCTTTTGAAAGCGCAGTATGTCTGTCAAGGCCCTGTATTGCCAAAGTCTACGGCAGCACGCTGCCTCTCTCTTGTGGCCGTAGCGCTGAAGAACTGTGCAAACGTTGTATTCCGCCTGGCTCTCACTTTTATGCAGAAGTGGCCTGGGCCTCGGAAAGCGTCCGGAAACACCAGGCGCGGGTACATTCGGGCTCGTCGTTTGAACGCTTCAAGAATGCGTTGTTGTGCCATATTCAGCCGACGCGATGGCGCAAGCACCGCCACGTCGGCATCTTGCTGTTGATTATACAACGCGAAAGAATGGAAAGACTGCACAGACAGGGGAAAATAAAAGCTAGTCACATCGAAATAAACGTGAAAAGGCAGGCTCAGCTGAATCATTCGTGTTGCAATGACGCCTTCCGATCCTCCGTGTTGGCATCCGAAATTTGTAAAACTTTAGCAGAGTTTAGGTAGCGCATTAGTCAAGGCAATAAGGACGCTAATATGACTTTGTTAATCTGTCCTAGATTGTATGATAATATTAGTAGAGCTTACACCACACCAAACATCTATCTGCAACTTGATAATTTTGGTTTCGGCTCCAATTCTCTAACTCCTGAACTAGCAACGTTATTAAGGGCGAAGCGCCATATATATATAGGTCGAGCCATATCCGCCGTCACCCCTCTATGATGATGACGCCGATGAACAAGCGCGTTCCAGACCACACATTCTCTTTCTGTTATAGCAGCACAGCACATGCAAGGTACGCACTATACTCCATGACGGTACGATGCTTTGCACTGATTTACATGCGTGAGTGGTCAATGTCACGGGTCATTTAGGATAACACCGAACGCTCCCACTGCTTCGACCACTCATTACCATTCACTTCGTGGATACGCTATAATTTTTTACAACAGAAGAACGCCTGTGCTCGTCAGAAAATGTGCGGTTCTTGAACGCTGAATCTAACCATATTTCTTGCATTCTTAAGTGCACCAATATGACAGCGGTGACTGAGTGTACTGCTTTGGCAGTGGTATACTATAGCTGGGTCTCCAGATGATTCAAAAGTGGCAAGATAGGAACCGTATAGAAGGGAGAAAAAGAAAACAGCTTCTTCATTTAACGGGGGTATTGTTTCACGCTCGCGATGAATGTGTCATCGAAACGAGCGTTTCTCGGGCACCCACGTTCCACAGAAAGTCGGACAGACCCGCCGTCCACGGGCGTTTACTAAACTCGCTCGACCTTCACACTTCCTCGGCGCGCCCACCTTCTACTCTGATGGCGGCACTTAGCGATAACGAGACACGAACGACGCTTGCTTTTCAGTCCCAAACGCACACGGTCTTTACGCTTGCCCTCTCCACTCGGCTCATTTATTCATTTTTTATTCGCTGCGCCTGTCGAACTCCAAGGCGGTCGGTCGCGCATGCAGCGCTCGCATTTTTTTTTCCTCTCTTCCATCGGTGTGGCACTCACAAAGACACGTTACATATCTAAGACACGGAGAACGCCTCGAGAAGGTCTCTCTTCCATCTGGCCTCGTAATGAGCACTCTGATGCGCGTTTTGCCCCCTCTTTGTTTATTTTCGGCGCTCGCGACGGCCTAATGCACATGTCGAGGCGCGCCCGCGCGCGAGGGGCAGGCGAGACTGCCGCTGCCTACATGACAGGAGAGGACTCCGGCGGGCAAAGCCAGCGCCGCTAAAAAAGAAAACCGGTCTGACGCCTGCGCAGGGCACAGCGCCGAGTGCGCGCGCGAGCTGCCATGGGAGTATAGAGTGCGGCTGGAGTCCCGGTCGTTAGAACGGAGACTTTCGGTGTGCCGCACCAACGGCAGCCGCAACCGAGGCGCCAGCCGAGACAGTAGCGTTACAATATAGCCGACCAGGAATGTCTGACTCGCGAGCTGACCGACCAGAGTGGGTGCGACGACCTGCCCACGTGACCAAACGCCCTCCCAAGCAGATTTACCGAGAATAATGACAGTACCAGCTAAGAGAGATTGAAAGCTCATGCCGTCTGGAGATCACCTCCCAGTGACGTAGCCATGACCTTGTCTACGCCGCTTGCCAGAAGGTCCCTGAAAGCCTCGTTTAGCACTGGCCAGCGAGAAATTGCGGGAGGAGTGCCGTGAGCACTTAATGACGAATATGTTTCCATTCGTCACAATGCCCGCAACGTCTTGGGGGTAGAAATACCCGTGATTCGCGTGCTCTTAATCTGTTTACAGTAATTAAATATCCTCCCACAGCCTCATACTTGACAGAGACGCAAATTATTATAGAAAAAGTTTGGTGATTCATCCATGTTTTCTCCCGAGTGTCCGTTTTATTGTATGCTCAAAGAGCTGCGAACCGCCGTACCAGTAATATATACAACTAACAAATTGAAGAATAGTATAAACAGAAGCCTTGTTTTTAGACAATCTTATTATTGTCCAGCGGAGAAGTTGGAACGGAGTGATAGTGCACTGCATTTCTCAAGCGTAGTTTTGCCCATAGTAAGGATTACAAAGGTTAAACCACCGCATGTTGAAGCGAAATAGTTTCTCGATTGATTATACTCTGTGTTTATGGGAGGATATAGACATATCAAATGGAAGGAAATAACGAGGAAGAAATGCAGACGAGGTTACAGCATCGCCAAAGGCACAGAGAGTTTGATATGTGCATGCAACAACGGTGCCCAGGTGGCGTGATATTATTCAAAAACTGCCATGACATGCTGTGCTTCCAGTGTTTATCATATGCTAACGCTTACTCGTACAAATTTTGGTAGTTGGGAGACAGTGACGTGTGCTCGTTGTGGCCTTCCGGATGCCCGAAACAATGTCTTGTCCCTTTGCAGACGCCAGACGGCGGAGGAGCGCGAGGCGGAGCGACACGCGGCTAACCGGCTCATGATGTCTCTTCAGGCCGAGGTGGTTAGCAAGTCCATCTACGAGGGCGCCCGGGACTCGTTGTGCATGAGCAACGCCTCGCTTCATGCCCTCCAGTCACTGCAGCCCTGGGCCTCGGAGGCAGCCGCGGCAAACGCGCTTCACGCGAGCGCGGCCGCGGAGCGCAGTCAGGCGGCTGCCGCGTACCTAGCGCAGCCGCCATCACTCACCTCGCCCCTCTGCTGATGGGCCGCCGACCAAGCTCTGATCTCGGACTACGGGCATTAAGCGTTGAAGCCACATCGACGCGCCTCTGGGGGAAAAAATGTGTTCGCATCACGTGGAGCCAGGAACGCATCGTATGGTGGATCAGTGATTGCATTTGCAATGGATTCTCAAGTGGACTGCCCTAAGGCTTCGTTGTGACGGCGACTGCGTTAAGGCGGGGAGGTCATAGCTGTGCTGGTCACACTGACGGACTGAATACTGCGTTGGTTCCCCATGTAAGCGGCCCACCCAGCTGGCTGCTATTGCAGTGCGCGTGTATAGAGACGTGCAGTGGACGCGATCGTACATGTGCTCTCGGTGTGTGCAAGCTGTTTAGTAACGTGTGGGGACGAGTGTCACGTGGCCACACAATGTGCATATCTCGGAACTTCACCGTACTGACGCACTTTAGCGATGCGAATAGCTTAACGTGAGCTTCTCCGAACGTTCACTTGATCGAGACCACAGCTCACTTGCATCGCTTAGGAAATATTAGGCGTTTAGGATAGATATCTTAATGTAAGGTATTTTTTTCGATACAGCACGTTGATGAGTCAGGTGCATATGATTGCAAGCTTTAAGTTAATGAAAGCTGCCGTTATTTTTTTCGCGCATTCATCCAATAAATGCAGCTTTTCTGATTTCATTGTCCTCATTCTCAAGAGTACAGCAACCTTGTAGCTCGAAAACATGCCTGTAGAAGTTGATATTGTAGCAGCAACATCATGTGGTTGACAACGAGGACCCGTGAAGTGTTTAGATGCGTCTACACTAAATGTTATATGAGGAACATAAACAATTCCAAATGCATTATGTGCGCTACAGAGCGCAAAGACAGAGAGCAGGATAGCGCGCCAGGACAGCAGTGCACAATGAGAAAAAGAAACCCGAGCAGAGTGAAGCCGGTTAAACGTGTTCTGTGCAGGTATGAGTGAAGTGCCCATAGCGTGACCTCCCCGTGGGCCTGCATGGCCGTCGCCAGCAGCTGTGTATAGAAAGACGGCGTGAGCGCTGCACACTCATTGAAAGTGCCATGACAGCGACGCGAGGTGTGCAAAGAACTGTTTACTAGTCCTCTACGAACACTCTCCGGGCCCGAAATCATACAGCACCCGACGTCGCGAAACCCCTTGCAAGTTGAAACCAGTGTCTTCCGCGTCATGGGACTCTCTGGTGGTGACGACCGTGTTGCCACGCACTCAACACGTGTAAAGCGTTCTCTTGTTTCTTTATCAGCATTATCATTGTTCCTGTACCGCTGTGTGGCTCTCGGTTTGTTTTTGCGGACGTGACCATGGTGGCCTCTTCCCTCCCAAGGAAAAGAAAGAAAACAACCCCCAACCGACTCTCTTTCCTGCCATTTTTTTTCTTTTTGTGCATTTGGCCTGTTCTTCCATAACTTCATTTTTATCGGCGGCCAGCCACCACAGGCAACCGCTGCCGTGCGCGTTGGAGCCAAAGAAATGCCATAGGTGACGCCGAAGCAGCAAAAAAAGCGATATGCTCGGGAGTGCGTCCCCCTAAAAGCCGTGTTTTTGTTATCAACCTCTCTGCCCAAGGAGCAGACCATATTGACTCCGGCGTCGGGAGATGAACGCTTCGCCGCGTCTAAAAGATTTCAAGCCGCGCAGCAATGCGTATTGCCGAATGGCTTCGGTGATGCGGCAACAGTCGCGCGTCATTTGTTGTTGGTATTGTTTTACTCGTCTGGGCGTACCATGACTGCCTCTATCTCGGACAGCGTTTACAGAGGCTCCCACGAAGCCAACGAGTCTGGTAGAATGCACTGTTGAAAGGTTCGCCGCAAGCGACTGTAGCCTGTTATGTACATTATATCCCTCTTCTAGGCCGTGCTCTACCATATTAAGTGTGAAAAAAGCTGGTTAATAAAATAGGCAATGATTTTTTTATTGATTATAAAGATTATAGGAGAACGAAATAATTTGGCATCAGGGCACGAAAGAGCTGCTGATGTATGCGACAAGGTTGCATCAATGTTGTCGGAAATGTTCAACAAGAACACGAAAGAGGTTATTCACAGTTACATTTAAATAATTTGCAGATATGAATGACCGAGTTGAATAACATAGGTATCCCGAAACGCTTTCTTTTCTAGGCGTTGACTTGCTCTGAAGGAATTCGGGTCCACAATGAAAGAAAACTATTATGCACGGCTCTCATAAGGTCTAGAACGTTGTCATGTATTATATTTGTAATATTTGCATCATAATAAACTCATTCTGTACACATGACCATTTGCTTCCTACGTTTAGAGTGTTATTGGTGCCACGAGTTTGTGCACGCATGCAAACAAAGATGGTGCAGAATGTTGGTTGGTTAAGCCCTGGAACCCACTGTTGTTGTATTCCTTGATGTCCAATGAGCATACGTCTGCTCATTGGACATCAAGTCCAATGAGCAGACGTATGGACGTCTGGTCCATCGTATTTGGATGTCCAACATACTTTACGAGAAGGATTGCATTCTATAGATCACTTTCTAAGAAAAAGAGGTATGATACTGAGTCTGGCTAAAACGGCCATACTACCGTATACTTCAAGAGACCTGGAGATTTCCAGATTATTCTGAAAAACCAGTCTATTCAAATGGTAACAACTCATAGATTCTTAGGTTTGATTTCAGACCGGAGAATAACACGGTCCCCTCATGTCCAGTTCCTTGCACAAAAAGTGAATCAAGCCATTCGAATCCTCTGGCATCTCTGCGGGGCTAAATGGGGCGGTACTACAGAGTCGCCAGTGGCCCTACATGTTGCGTGAATACGCCCCGTGATACGTTACTCCCTGCCTCTGCGGCCCGGACTCCCAGCCTCCTCCGAAAGAAGACTTCACTTGTTATTGGTAAGGAGTTTGAGGGTATGTCTGGTGTTGCCACGGTCAACTTCCAGTGCTTTAGTGTATGCAGAGGCTCGACCACCACCTTTGGCAGTACTCCGAGCTAAAGAAATGTCTAGAAACTTATTTAGAATTTTCAAGCAACATGAAAGTCATCATTATCTGGTGCACCAACAGAAAGGACGGCAACGCGACTACAGGATAGTGTATCATCAGTCCAAGCAGTAGTACCAGGATTTCAACGATGTAAGCCTTCAAAACCACATAGGACGCTACCGTTTCTCTACGTTCTGTGAAATAAATGGCATACGGAAGAAAGCAGACATGGCGCCTCCAGTAGTGGCACAGATGGTACTTCATCATTTTCATAAAATGCATAATGAAAAAAACGAAGACATATACACATGGATCATGCACTGAAGAAGCGTCAGCCTGTGCATTCTTTATACCCGAAATTCAGAAAAAGATAATGTACAAATTGTCGCACAAATCTTCATCGACGACAACAGAATTGGTGGCTACTTTGAAGCAGTTAAGCTTATCTGCGGGAATTCTGAGCCACGAAAGTGGGTGATATGCACGGATAGCAAACCTGCCCTTCAGCTAATGAAAAATGTGAGATCACTTTACAAAAACTGTGAAATAGCCCAATGTATAGCAAAAACTGTGGGATATGCCTCAGCGCAGGGTCACAACATCGTACTCCAATAAATACCTATAGTCACATTGGAATGAAGGGAAATGAAGAGGCTGACAGCCTCGCCAAGAAAGCATTGAATGAAGGACGGCATTGCACAATCACTGTGTCTGGGGCGGATATTCGACATTTTATAACGCAAGGAGCAAACCATTGTTTGATGGAGAAGTGGTTCGATAGCCCTCAATCAAAGGAATCAGTACTTTATGAGATTGATCCACAAAGAAAATTTTTCATAGCGACACAGACTCCGCTTGGAAGTAGCATACACTAACAGCTTCATCGATCCAACTCCCAGGAATGCCATTGTGGTGATGCAAAAAAAAAAAAATGTTCGCCATATTCTCTCGGACTGCGTTAAATACTCGAATGAAAGAGAAAAATCAAGGAACAAGTTAGCAAGTTTGGACAGACGGCCCAACACATAAATAAATTTCTTGGACCATGGCCTGAGATGTATCTTCAGAAAAAGGCAAACATATTCCTGACAGACTTCTTAGTGGAGACCGGACTGGTAAGCGCCTGTGATAGACAGCCAGGGATTGATATATATGAAATTTGTTAGTGCATATACTGACAGTAGAAAAGGGAGGTATGCGTGTGAACAGTTTGACAGTGTGAACTGCTGCAAGCAAACTGTGCGTTGGCATATTTGAACTGGTTTCAGTATGGTATTATGTTTTTTTATTGTTCATTTTTGGGTACCATTCAGTATTATTCTTTTTTTTTCCTACACAACTTATTGATATGGAGTAGCCGAAGCAATATGGACCTCAACCTCTCCATAGCAAAAACGTTAGAACAGAACAGAAATGTCGCAAATTGTCTCGGTTAGCTTGTTAAGACTTTTAATGGTATATTAAAGCATGCTTTATTAAAATTTTCATAGAGAACAGACAATTCCGAAGTTATAACGTTCTAATGGAAATATGTTTGACTAAGATTGCGTGCTACATTCAGATGATCACTTCTCATTTCGCTCTAGCAATTATGTGCTATACAAGACGTTAGTCTTAAATTCTGTCGTTTACAGAGATGCTTTGTTTGCCGGTTTCATCAACCCAGATTCGCAAAGCCATACTTAAGCGTTTATAAGTGAAAGTTCTCTCGGGACACTATGCGCACCCGTCACTCAGCCGATGCACCTGCTTGTGCTATGATGAGAAATAAAGAGGTCAGGTGCTTCACAGATCTTGAGCTTACAGGAACGCGGTGACATTCATGATCCATGGTGCACGGCATGTAAGCGAGAAGCGAGTGCGAACCACTGTAAAACTACAACATTAGAGGCACATTCTTTGGAATTGACTGGTGTCGTTGTAGAGTGCTTTCGACCCAGCAATGAGATACCCGAGGTGAGAGACCCTGAAGTGAGAGGTGAGTTTCTGATAGAGCATGCAGGTATACCGTTGAAAGTCCATTTAAGGAAGGAATGATCGCGCTCGGATCGTTTAGTTAACTCGCGAAGTTTATAAAATTGACGAATAGATTCTTCGGTCCTTCGAAATTTGAAATTGTAACGTAGTGACGAGAGAAAGCGACCACAGCATTGTTTCTGTTGTCAACCACGTGTGTGAAGAAAAGTTTGCGGAAGTGGCCTGAGGGCGGCACGCCTTTGAAGCCTCTCATGTCACCTAGACTATAGGGTGTGATCCTGAGTGATGCAAGCCATGTAGACAGCTACGGAGAGCTATAATAGGCTACCGATATGCGAAGATGCTAGTGAAAGAATGCTGTGACTGCGCGAGCAGGTCGACCTAGAAAGGAGAGAGCTGATAATCTGCCACGAAAACCTTTAAATAACGAAACAAAAACGTTTTTAGCAGCATCTGGTATAGGTAATAGCACGACAGATTTCTGGTCCGATGTTACACGCATGGGCACGACATGCAGCCTCGTAAAAATGAAGCTATAGATCCGCGGACTATGGGACGCCTAAGTGTTTCAACGCGACGGTGTTAGAGCACATGCTCAAAGAAAGTCATTCTCTGTCAAAATTAGAAGGAAATATTCGCTTTCTTCACTCAGTTATTTCAGCAAAAACTTTCTTAAGTTTTATTTGGAGCGCAAGTTAGTTAACGCGAGTTTTGAATGCACAGGGCTTTATGATTACAAGTATTTGCCGGTGAACGAAATTTTCTTCATTAGATCGGGAACTTCCTAAAATATTGTTTTTTTAAATGAATTTTAGCTGTAGACCGAAGAAGGGAAGTTGAAGCTGAATGCCTTAGAAAGCCCAGTGCTCTTCAATGACTTGTACTGGTGGAGATTGTGGACACTATGAGGTGTACGTATACTGGACACCACAGGCGACCGCTATGCAACTATATACAGGTATAATGAATTATTTTCACATATATTATACGTTGGTGATATACATCTACTGCAGTGCTATGCAGTCGTACTGTACCTTACACACAAGCACGATTCACGATATCAGCTACTGAAGTGGAAGAACAAGCGTCCTGTTTCCGACGCACGATACAAACTTATACAATATAGCACGGAGCGGCGTTTAGCACACTTTGCATGCAACGGCTCAAAACGCTCACTTGCGCGTAGGGCATGTTTCAATCGCTGGAAGTATATTATGCCTGTCCAAGACGGCTTTTGCCAGTTACAATGTACGGTAATCATCTGTTTTTCCGGTATTGTTCACAAATCATTCTGCGATCCTTAAAAAAATTGCGTTCTCGCGGTTTATGCAACTCTATAGTTTCTTTGTACACTCCCTGTTGGTGAACAGATCTCGGATCCAGCGCAATTCGTGTTACATACTTATCTTACAACGTTCCCTCATTGAATGCTGCGAAGATCGAATGCGCAAATTAAATAAACAACTAATATATCATCTAGGAGATAAACAGGGCATTTTTATCACAAGGAATTGTCCTATAATACAACCGTTTTACTCGCGAAAATGCGTCGGTCACCATCTTTTTCAAGTTCTTTCCTAACGCAATTACTTATACTTACATTGGCTTGATTGCCTGCTGGTTCTTATAAGGATTGCGCCTAACCATAAAAAGCGACCCTTTAATTCTCTGTTGCATTCATCCAGATATGCCCGATAAAGGGGGGGGGGGGGAAACCACCCTCTGAGCTCAGTTGGAAGAGCATCAATAAGACGGTTGGTCCGGCAGCATAGTGCACAATTTTGCACACACCTCACGAACACGAAACCAAGAAATTCACAAGGACTGCGCTGGTGCTTGTCTATTTGTTCGTTGTGTTCTGGTGTGGTGTGCGCAAAATGTCCCGCTTTGGTAGAGCATCAGACGCGTCATTCAAAAGCTACAGGTTTGGACCCTGCCGGCCACTTTAATTTCTTCACACATATATCCTAATTACAACGAATGATTTCCCCTGGGATTTCTTCGGCTAGACTGCCTGTTGGTTCTCATTAAGGTTGTGTCTAACAGAAAAAAAACGAGCTCCTAAATTCCCTTTTTTTCGTTTCTTCTAAAAACATGCATGCCACCTGACTGTAGACGTTTATAATGCAATAATGAAGTATACTTCAGAACGTGTTAGAATTAACAAGTGGAAAGGTAACCTGAGATCAAGAAACAACAAATGCTATAATAATTCCTCGCATTATGATTGCTTAACACTTTAAGTATCATGTTTGCTGAACCTGAAGACGCTTTCCGTCTCCGACGCATCCCGAAGGCTTAATTTTCGTCCACAGCAACCGAGT